GAAATCGTCAGATTATATATTTTTCGATATCCTTGAATTATTTTCTTCAAAATGATAAAAAATTAGCTACGCTCGAGAATGTCGAGATGAGGTTTTTTTTTTACAACTCTCACTCACTCTCTCACGTCACTCTCAAATTGTCAGATTACTGGAATATACACTTTTTAGCATGTACTTAACTAACCCTACCTTAATCTGACGCGCTCGAGAATTTCTGATGATCAATTTTTTTTTAATAATCTGATCCTTTATCCTTCACGGGCGGCCTTATATACGGGGCTCATATTTGGTGGAGGTACTTAACCGGGTACAAGGTATCCCTTGTATATTAATCTGCCGCGTTTCAGTAAATCCAGAAATATCCACTTGGGCTCCCCTATTATCATCACAGAAACACATTTCATTCTGGTTAAAATATGTGGATGATATCCTCGTGTGTTTCGACGGCCCGAACAAACAGATGAATTGGCTTGTGAATTTCCTCAACACTCTGCACGACAAGATAAAATTAACATTCAAAATGGAACAAAACAACAGCATTATTAACTTTCTGGATTTTACTATTACAAAAATCAATAATAAATGACAGTTTAACATCTATAGGAAAAACACTCTCACGGACTGTACAATATCTCCGTGGATTCTTTCAGTTCATTATCACATAAATTATCAATTAAGAAATTTCAATTAGGAGACTTAGAATTTCTAGGATATCCTAAATCAGCAGCAGCTACAGCTACCTGCGTGACTTCCGGGTCCAAGATATCCCAGAAATTCTATATCCCAGAAATTCTAGGTCTCCTAATTGAAATCACAAATGTGCGGTAGGCTTCTGTTGGTGACTCCGTTTTTTGCTGTCTTTTCCATTTTTGACAAGCAAGTGTTGCCCATCTCTGCACTTGGCTACACCGCGCTAATGAGGACAATAGCCAGAAACACGTGTCCGCGGTTTGTGTGGTGACTGTAAAGCAGCTTATACAAGCCACACAGTCAGAAATTTCAACATAAGATAACGGGAGCATGTATTATCAGATTAAAAATCAGCTGTAAATTGGACATCAACTTTCTAATGGGATATTCCTGTACATAAGTATTAAATCTAAATCTTTTTTATATTCTATGTCTTTATACAACATTTTTTCAACAGTTTGTTTTTACCTTTCTACCATCCCATTCGATTGAGGGTAGTGATATGATATGATATGAAGTGATATGAAGTGATATGATATCAACTGTATTCAACGGAAAACGCAACAAACTGACTGTTATAAGGAAACAAGTATAGCTGAGGCACCAGTCAATCTAATAATAACACTGATGATCTTCAAATAAGACTCAACCACTGACGGAAGCAAGAAACTCTTTGGAAGGTTCGAAATAGATGAACATTTCAATCTAGCAGACCACTAGTATAATATTCATGCAGTAATTGTTCACTGTGGTTCTGCGGCGTTGAATTTGGTCATTATTACGCCTTGGTCAAAGACGAAACGGACTGGTTTAAGTTTGACGATAGTCGTGTCACGAAGTGTTCTGGCGATGCATTAAATCTATTGGACCCTCTGGAGACACCCTACATTTTGTTTTATAAGAGAGAGGACATTGGTAGATCAATATCTTCAGATGATGTGGTGCTGCAGGTTTGTCCGGGTTTTCCTGCAGCTGAAAAAGCAAATGCGCCACTGGAATCAATGTAGTCGTCCCGGAGCGCCAATTAATTTTCATTGTTATTTTCATTTTTATCGTTGTTTTAATAAAACAAACTGTTTTTCTCTTTACAAACTGAGCCGCTTTAAAATTGCGGCCCATTGTCTGAAATCAATCTTGCTGGAATACCTAATCGACTAAATATTGCTTTAAGATGTTCAATATCCATTTGCATTTTGATCCAATAATATCAATTCCACCCATTTACTATGATATTCAGTAACAAGCAGATACATAGTTTCCACCAAATACAAAATATCACACCCAATTTTATACCACGGTATTGTTGGTATTTCATGATGCATTAAGGGCTGTTTTTGTTGGTTACAACTATATTTCAAACAAATTCTACAATTTGAAATAACATCTTCTATATTTTTGAACATGCCGGGCCAGTAAAAACAATCTGATTGTAAATCAGATTCCCTATGGGCGTGTATAGGTTCGAATCCTACTGACTGCGCCATGTTAAAGTTCCTTGAATTGAAACAATAGCTGGAGACAGACTGACTTTAATTTTCTTTGCACTCATTTTTGTTATCACTTTTTACATACAAGTACAATCCATGGACAAAGCATCTAGGTAAA